AAAAAAAAAAAAAAAAAAAAAGAATCACATGAACAACAGGCAGTGATGATTTCACTCTTTAAGGACACACTACACAGATCTGTTATACGTGTGTCTGGAGGGGATGCTGGCCTTCCCTCACACAGCACTAAGGACAGCTTCCCCTGATGTCTTGTAGACCATGCTTTAAACCACGGCTTTAGACAGAATAACTGCCTCCCCTGCCTCCATCCCCACCCACTGTTCAAAGAACAGCACAACTCTATTATGTCACTAGTGTCTGGTGACCAGAATAAATACCCTTTTAACTGACTTCCCGTGTTACATTTAGAGTTATAACAAGCATCTCTGCAAGCACAGGGAACACGGTTTGATACATAACTCATTCTACAGAGTATTGCTTCATACTTTGACTTGTTTACATTCTCACTTTTATTTATGCCTCTCGTTCAGTTATTTTAAAGTAATACTTTTTTTTTATAGGCTGGGCACAGTGGCTCATGCCTGTAATCCTAGCATAAAGTAATACATTTTTAAAGAAAACAAGCCCATAGCAGGTTTTTCCAATCTAATTTGATCCCAAAACAACTTCCTCACCTCCCTTTACCCAAAAAGTGTAGACTGATAATTCAAAAATCAGGGAAAGATAGCATTCTGGAAGTTAAGAAAACACTAAATCTATTCATGTTAAGAAAAGACCAAATCTATTCATGTATCACAAGTAACCTCCTCTGGCCAATCAAGTGTGGGCATATTTCACTACAGTAATACTTTTAGCAAGGACATGTCTTTCTTTCAATAATCCTACAAATAGAAGATTATTTTCTTTCATAGTCAATGCTTCTCAATTTAAAAATACCAATCTTTGTAAACTTGGAGAAAACAAGACCACTTGTGTTAAGATATTATCACTATCTATTCCTGCTACTTTCCTATGTAAATCTTTTGCATCATGTAATATTTAAGAAACTTACCAAAAAAAGAATTAAAGTAAAAACAGTTTGGGGGAAATGTTTCCTGACCTCTCAAATACATAAGATAAATTAGCTAGCAATAGCTAGATAAATGAACATATGATTTTAAAATTATTTTTTTAGCTGGGTGTGGTGACTCACACCTGTAATCAAAGCACTTTGGGAGGCTGAGGCGGGAGGATCACTTGAGCCCAGGAGTTTGAGATGAGCTTGAGTAACATAGGGAGACTCCATCTCGACAACAACAACAACAACAAATAGACAGGTGTGGTGGCCCTGTGGTCCCAGCTACTCGGGAGGCTGAGGCAGGAGGATCCCTTCAGCCCAAGAGGTTGACACTGCAGTGAGCCATGATCACACCACTGCACTCCAGCCTGAGTGACAGAGGGAGACTTTGTCTCAAAAGAAAAATAAAAGGTAGATAAATTATTTTTTAATGTTTCCATCTCTATAAGATTAATAATAAAAGAGAAAACTTATGATAAAAAGCTACCTCACACCACCAAAATCAGTTAAGAGTAGTGACCCACATCTCCAAGAGTGCATGTTGGTAGGACCACGGTGGGGGGTGAGGGGAGCAGGCAACAAGAAACCTTATGTAAATGGAGAATAGAATAAAGGAGTAGGTGGGAAGAGGCTCTATAACCCTACAACCCCCACCACTAGTAGAAACATTTGTCCCAAAAAGCTTACCACCCCACATAAATCCTAAGCTAAATGTAACATCTGGACCGACCATTAACTCTCAGGATAGACCCTGGTACTTACTCCTCATTCCCAGAACACTAATGGACCACTGCCCTTCAGGGCCTTTTCCCTTTCAAGTCTGTCTCAGACTCATGGGGATGAAATTAGAGAAGAGCAAAAATGAAGGGGAGAGGAGGAGATAAACAGAGAGATGATGAAAAAAGGCTAAAAATATGATCTGTTTCCAGAACTTTTCCCACCCCCAATATTACCATGCACAGTTCCTAATGAGTCAAGGTTTATTACATATCTCAAATCAAAGATGGAAGTTTTGACTTTTTACATTAAAAAACAACAAACGCTGTAGGATGAGAAAGAAGCATGCACCTAGTCTACAGCTGTTCTATCTGTGCAAGATGACTATGAAAAGAATTGAAAAACAATTAGCAAGATTTTCATATCTATTAATGATAGTTCAAACTGTAATTGGTTTAATTCACCTTGCTACAGAATTACTAACATTGACTAGCTGTTATGCCAAATGCCTATATATATGCCAGGCATATATATACTTTTTTTTTTTTTTGAGACAGGGTTTCACTTTATTGCCCAGGCTGGAGTGCAGTGGCGTGATCACGGTTCACTGCAGCCTCAACCTCCTGGGCTCTTGGCAATCCTCCGACCTCAGCCTCCTGAGTAGCTAGGACTACAGGTGTGTACCACCATACCCAGCTAATTTATTTTTTTATTTTTTATTTTTTTTGTAGACATGTGGTCTTACTATGTAGACCAGGTTCATACACACTTTTTATGTACAGGTACTTTTATGTAAATTATCTTAAAATGACTCCATGATGTGGGTATTGTATTGTTACTTTTTTTTTTTTTTTTTTAATGAGACAGAGTTTCACTCTTGCTGCCCAGGCTGAAGTAATCTCGGCTCACCGCAACCTCTGCCTCCCAGGTTCAAGCGATTCTCCTACCTCAGCCTCCCAAGTAGCTGGGATTACAGGTATGTGCCACCACACACAGCTAATTTTCTATTTTTAGTAGTGGAGGGTGTTCTCCATGTTGGTCAGGCTGGTCTCAAAACTCCTGACCTCAGGTGATCCGCCCGCCTCAGCCTCCCAAAGTGCTGGGATTACAGGTGTGAGCCACCACACCCAGACGGTTATTGTTACCTTTAAGGTCATGTAGGTAGTGAGTGGCCAACTGGAACGTAGATTATTAGAATCTACCAACAGCACATTTCTCATTATGGCATGATGCCTCTATTGAAAATACTATACAGTTTTAAATATCAAAATGATTCTTGGTTGGAATTTTTTCCCCTCTTTTGACATCTTCAAATATTCTCAATTTGAAGAAATTCCTAACAACAATGGCAATACCATCTGTCAAAGAGGCCTGTCCGAAGACAAAATTCCAGGAGTCTCTTGGGTAAAGATCAATCATTGTTATTCCCACAATGCAGAAGGCATCTTCAGGTTTCTTCTTTTTCAAGAACTTCAGGATGTCCCCTATTTAAAAATAAATATATATATATGTATGCATGCATATTATATATACACTTGCTTCCTTTAGTCAGTTCAAATTGCAAAGTTGTGTAATTCACCTGCATGAATTTGTAGGTTTTGTGTGTTCTCATTGACTCTAAAGGAACATTTTGTTGCAGAAACAGGAACTGGTTCTAGGAGTTTTACTCTCAAGCCATAGAAATATGCTTTACAATAGCCCTGCAGCCATTTAATATATTCTTCACTGATAATCCTGGTGTTTCCTAGAGATCCTGTAATATGGAAGAACATTTAAAGACAGACTTTAAGAGGATTATTCAGTCTTTATACCCAGTCTATGAGGAAGAGGATTCAAATTAGAAACAAATACAACTCTAAATTTTCAATACACCTTTATCATTCATTGGTGTTGATATGAATTAAAAAGAAACAAAATGTTCTCTTGTAAGTCAGTTTGGCTACAAAACTTGTACCATTGCAATGAATATCAAAAATAATCCTAAACTGCCCATCTGAATCAGACCAATAGGCCAGACTATTCCTGACAACGGCATCATTGCAATACCAAACCAAAACCAGCACATTACCAGTATTTACCAATGGACTGTATATAAATACTATGTTTGTCTGGAGAGGGTATCTTTCTGTAAGGATCACTGAAGAACTGTTCAAAGTCTTGGGGGGCCTCAGGGTGGGAGGTAATCCAATCTGATTGAGAATGCAAGGTAATGGGTCCGAAGAGATCACTGGCTGGCTGGAAGGCTTCATTCATTAAACGCTGTTCCCCAGCATCTAATTTCTCATACTGTGACACAAGCACTGGGTTCTTTGAGATGAGAGCTCTTTTTAGCGTCTGTTGAGAGTGCCGTACTATCTGCATCTAACAAAAAAAAACACAAGTAGTCAAATATAAAAATACATAATCATATTGTGGACTTTAACTGTCTTCCATATACAGCTCTGATTTCTCCCTAGAATGAGATGACTCACTGCTAATGCTTGAGAGTGGTCAAACTTAGAGTGGTTTCCTCATGTCAAATCAATTTCTTGGGGATCTAAGAAATTAAAAAGAAAATCATAAAATCCCTTCCTCCATCCTATATGAAACCTGCTCCCATTACAAAAACTAGTGGTGGCCAAGCATGGTGGCTCATGCTTATAATTTCAGCACTTTGGGATAGGAGGATTGCTTGAGGTCAGGAGTTTAAGAACAGCTTGGGCAAATGGTGAGACCCTGTCACTACAAAAAATTTTAAAATTCCCTGGGCATAGTGGTGCACACCTGTGGTCCTAGCTACTAGGGAGACTGAGACAGGAGGACCACAAGCCTAGGAGCTTGAGGTTGCAGTGAGCCATGATCGTGCCACTTGTACTCCAGCCTGGGCAAGAGTCCAAAACAAACAAACAAACAAAAAAAACCTCATGGTGACCACAGGAGCATGACCTCACACCTAATTTCCTTCTTTTGGGGAATAATAGTATTGGCCTGGCACAGTGTTTCACGCTTATAATCCCAGCACTTTGGGAGCCTGAGGGAGGACTGCTTGAGCCTAGGAGTTTGAGACCAGCCTGGGCATCATGGCAAAACCCCGTATCTACAAAAAATTAGCTGGGCATGGTGGTGCGCACTTGTAGTTTCAGCTACTTGGGAAGCTAAGGTGGGAGGATCATCTGAGCCCAGGACTTTGAGGCTGCAGCGAGCCGTGATCGTGCCACTGCACTCCATCCTGGGCAACAGGGACCCTGTCTCAAAAAAATAATACTAGCCGAGTGCAGTGCGGTGGCTCACACCTGTAATCACAGCACTTTGGGAGGTCGAGGTGGGTGGATCACCTGAGGTCGGGAGTTCAAGACAGCTTGACCAACATGGAGAAACCCCATCTCTACTAAAAATACAAAATTAGCTGGGCATGGTGGCACATGCCTGTAATCCCAGCTACTTGGAAGGCTGAGGCGAGAATCCCTTGAACCTGGGAGGCAGAGGTTACGGTGTGCTGAGATCATGCCACAGCACTCCAGTCTGGGCAACAGGAGCAAAACTCCATCTCAAAAAAATAAATTAATTAATAATAATAATACTATGAGTTAACTCATTAGGGCCTCATGAAAAATACTCGCGCTTTCTAATGTGACCCAAAGATCTTTAACATCAAATAAAAACAAAACTAATGTAAGCCCTATCATTTATGTAATTTAACTGCAGGATGAGAAGTTACAGCTTAGCCACTGAAGTTTATGGCCTCAAAGTCACATCACATTAGGGAAGACATCAGATGACTAATCAAAAGCTAGACTCACGATGACAGGTTTCTTCCATTCACGTCGTGGTCCTATGTAGAGCTTTCATCCTTCCTCTTGAATGGGTCAGATGTTCCACCACGAGGCTTTTTTAATTAGACAAGGAAAAAACTGAACATCTCTGTCTGGATCATCTCTGTCATATTTCCTAATTATCTAGATTTTCCCAGTTTAATGATAGACAATGAATGGGAAAACTTAAGCTAATGTGTGTTCTGATTGAACCTCTGAAATCTGGGGTTGACAAGGATGGCTGAAATTCCAGATCAAATGTATCTGTACTCAAAGCTCTGATAGGAGCATAGGCTTATCCTCACCCCTACACAACTGGGCCAAAATCTGACTTCTACAGGACAAACCATAAAACAAGATGTACCTTCCTGTAAGTTTACCTACCTTGATTTAGGAAGGAAGGCTCCCATGGAAGCTTTTATCTTACAAGGATGGACATGTCTGGGCCTGGCCAGAAAGATATGGCATGTGCCTTCATCTTAATATTAAAAAGGCAAAGTGAAAGGTGAGGAGGCCTCCTCTTGCCTCCCAAGCCTAATCTAGGGAAGCTGTGGGAGAAGATGGGCAGAGGGCGCAAGATGCAGTCACTGCAGTGGGCTGGAGGCCTGGGATGCTTTAGTCCCAAAACCGGAACATCCCCGGCAAACCCGGAGGAGTTGGCCACCCTGGCTGGTTGCCTATGGCAACTCGCACTGTGGGCTTTGGCCGGTGCAGGCACGACCCAGTCTCCGGCTGAGGGTGGAGTGGGGGTTCCCCCGGGTACTCTCGCTTCGCCTCGTCTCCCCTAGGACTCTCGGGAAAGGCCCTCCCTGGCTCCCCAGAGGCACTCCGCCACCGTGGTCCCCGCGGCTTCCGCCACGTCGCCCCTCCCACATCCTCATCCCTCTCCACCGACCGCGACCGGCCCCCGCCTCTACGACCCGGCTGCCCTGCCTAGGGGCCCCGGCCCAGCTCTGACAGCACCCGCGAACCGCCCTCACCCAACAGGCCTGGACACCACCCACCCGCGGCGGCCCTCACGCGCGTGCGCATCGTATCCCTTTGCACTGTGCCTCGTCACGCCCACCGGCGCCACGCCCCTTCGCGCCACGCTCTGCGCCGCTCCGTCGCGCACGCGCTGTGGGCCCGCCCAGCTCGCGATCTTCCCGCGCCATGTCTCGTGGCGCGGGGTTGTTGGGGAGGCGCGGAGTTTGGCGGCTGTGGCCCGCTTGTTCCAGAGCAGAGGGTCGCGAGGGGACTACAGGCCCCCGCCGTCCGCCCCCGCAGTCGCCAGCTCCCCGGCTGCCCTCGCGGAGGCTCCGCGGTCCAATTCGCAAGAGTCCCAGATGCGTCCCGGTCGCCGGGGTCTCCAGTGTGGGAACGTGCTCGGCGGGCTGCGGGTTTGAGAGGCGTCCCCAGCGTGACGAGTGCAAACAGAGTGGCCCCACATGAGTCGGCGGCCGCCTCAGGTTGACGTAGAGCCGCGGCACTCCCCGGGGACCTCACCCGCAGGACTTTCCCCTCTTTACTTGTTGGGGGCGGCGGAGGCTGAAACCCAGACACGCAAGTGTGGGCACGCCTCTGGCGCTCCGAGGTTGAAACCTAGATGCTCAGGGGAGGCCGTGAGGTCGAAAAGGCACCGCGGGGCCGGCCTTAGGGCTTAGCTCTGTGGCTTGGGGTGGGACGTTCAACCTCTCTGGACCTCGCTATTCTTTTTATCTTTTTCTTTCTTTTTTTGTTTGTTTTTGTTTTTGTTTTGAGACTGAGTCTCGCTCTGTAGTCCAGACTGAAGGGCAGTGGTGCTATCTCGGCTCACCGCAAACTCCGCCTCCGGGGTTCAAGCAATTCTCCTGCCTCAACCTCTCGAATGGCTGGGACTACCGGTGCCCAACATCACTTCGGGCTAATTTTTGTATTTTTAGTAGAGACAGGGTTTCATCAGGTTGGCCAGGCTGGTCTCGAACTCCTGACCGCTAGTGATCCGCCCGCCTTGGCCTCCTAAAGTGCTGGGATGACAGGCATGAGCCACCGCGCCCTGGCCTAGTGCATCGGCATTGTCATCTGAAAGAGGAGAGGACCCTTTCGGCCCTGGGAATGTGAGGGATAGAAGCTCGCAGTCCCTGGACACTCCGGCGTGCAGCTCCTGATGCATCCCAGTGCCCATCAGGCCTTAGGACACGGCAGATGGCCAGCCTGGGTAATGCCACTGAGTGATCTCAGTTACAAGTCGCCACCTAACTAGCGTCCCCTCTCCCTTTGAAGTTGTGGGCCTCTAAACAGGGCTCTACCCCCACACCTCCCTTCCTATCCAACTCAGTTGCTCCTTCACCAGTTCATGCCATGATCTGTTGGTCCTAGCAGCTTCCTACAAAGGAGCCCTGGGGAAGCCCAATTCCATTACAAACCTGTTTCCCCAAACCTCCCAACTGGTTCACTTTCAAGACCTCACCTTAAGGGACACCCAGCTTCCTTCCCTGGACACCACTTCTTCCCTCCCACATTTCCCTCAAAAATACTAAGCCCCTGTTTTTATTTTCCAGCTATTGTCCTATGGCCACAAAAGTAACCTGTCTTTAAAAAAAAAAAAAAAAACGGGTTTTCACCCTGTTGCCCAGGCTGGTCTCGAACTCCTGAGCTCAGGTGATCCACCCACTCCGGTCTCCCACAGTGCTGGAATTAGAGATGTGAGCCACCGCACCCGGTCTCAGTTCTTTTGAAATCAGGCCATTTTACCATCCTCTGGATTTTCCTCATCCTAATTCTCCTTTCCAGTCTTCAGGAAAGACAGGCACATTTTCTTGATGACTTCAGCATTTGTCTTATCTTCTCCACTCCTAACCCGTTGTTGGCTCTCCTTGGAGGATATTAACTCTGTGTGTTTGAGCCTCTCAACTTCAAGGATCTCCTCAGCCCTTCCTTATTGGTTCTCCCTCCTGGATCTTGAAATCTCCAAATGTGTCCTTTGAACACAGTGCCCATATCCACTCTCACCTGAACCCACTCTTTAATAAAATGCATTCGTACCATGACTGTTCTCAAAGTTTGAAATTGAGAATACTTATGCACCAGCTGCTGCTTCAGTGCTTAAGAAGTCGTGAGCTTTCTTACATGTGCGTTTGACTGGGTGCCTATCTCCTGACAGCCTGAGGTGAAGGTGGTCTGTGCTTGAACCCCAAATCCCTCACTTGTACGCATGGGACCTTTGCCAGTCAATTGACCTCTTTTTCATCTCTTCACTAGTTTGTAAAATGTAGACAATTAGAGAACATCTTTTTACTATTATTATTTGACACGAAGTCTTGCTCTGTTGCCCAGGCTGGAATGCAGTGGTGCAATCCCAGCTCACTGCAACCTCTACTTCCTGAGTTCAAGCGATTCTTGTGCCTCAGCCTCCCGAGTAGCTGAGATTACAGGCATGCACCACCACACCCGGCTAATTTTTGTATTTTAGTAGAGACGGGGTTTTACCATGTTGGCCAGGCTGGTCTCGAACTCCTGTCAGGTGATCCACCCACCTTGGCTTCCCAAAGTGCTGGGAATTATAGGTGTGAGCCACCGCACGTGGATGATTTCTTGATCTTTTAATTTTAGGTAGCATCTGTTTATTGCCATGAGAGAATACATACATCTCATATATCATACTTTCTACCTCTCATTCCTCTTATGATTATATCATAAATTTTGATTGATTCTGGTGGTCAGTGTTTACATTATGATGCTTATGCAAACATTGTGCACTGCAGAGCCAAGTAGTGTACTATGACCATACTTTTTTTCTTGTAGAACCTCTTTATTTTTGCCTGGAGTTAATCATTTGATTTCTATTATTTATTTTCTTTAAAAAGTTATATAATATTCATGGGCCTCATTTTTTATGATTCTCTGATTCTTTACTTTGTTTTTTAATGCTTCTCTACGTGACCTATGCATGCTGGTTACATTTTTTTTCTGAGTACCTTCATCTCCCCATTCCTATCTATACTGGTCATTAGTGGGCCTGCTGCATAGCTGTTCCTATGACTGCAACTACACTTTGCTCTGTTGGGTCCCCTGCTTCTTAAATTATTAAATTCTGTGTCTTCCTCTTTCCTGGCTTACTCCTTTGGTTTCAGTAGCACATCCCCAGAACCTTCTGGAATAAAGGTACCTAGAGAAAATATTTTGAGATCTTTGCCATCTGAAAATGTTTTTATTCTGCCATCATACTTGGCTGAAGATTTATCTGGGTTGGTGTGGAATTCTAGCTTGCAGATCACTTCCCCTCAGAATTGTAGTTTGCCCCAGTTTCTTCTGACTTCCAATGTTGCTACTGAGATGTTCAATGCCATTTTGATTCCTAGTCCTTTGTATGTTATCTGTTATTTTTGGGAATATTTTAGGATCTCCTTTTTATCCTTAGAATTCTGAAGAGTTATAAAGATGTGCCTTAGCCTGAGCCTTTCTTCCCATTCATTTTGTGTCTCACTTACCAGGGCCTTCGATACTGAGGCTCTTATCCTTTCATTCTGAGAAATTTTCTGGTATTATTTTTTTTGATAATTTCCTTCCCTCCATTCTTGCTGGATGTTGAACTTTGAGAATAGATCCTCAAATTTTCTTATCTCACGTTTTTTCATCTTTTTGTACTATGTTCTGAAGTTTTTAATCAATTATTTTCTGTCTTTTCTTTTGAATAGTTACTTTCAACTGTTCTGCTTTTTCATAGCCAAAATCCCTTTCCTGTTATGATTATTTTGCACCCTGCTATTGTTTGAATGTCAGTGTCTCACCAAAATTTATGTTGAGACCTAACTCCCAATGTGATAGTATTTGTAAATGGGAACATTTGGGAAGTGATCAGGTCATGAAAATGGAACCCTTATGAATAGTATTAGTGCCTTTATAAAAGAGACCCAAGGGAGCCAGTGGATCTCTTCCACCACATGAGGCCACTTCAAGAGGACACTATCTCTGAATCAGAAAGCAGGGCCTCTCTACACACCAAATCAGTACCTTGATCTTGGATTCCGGACCCTAGAACCGTGAGAAATAAATTTCTGTTTTTTACAAACCACCCAGTTTATTGTATTTTGTTATAGCATCCCAAACAGTCTAAAATACATCCTCTCATTTCATGGATAAAATGTCTTTTCTTATTTCTCTATAGCTAGTAACTATACTACTTTTGAAGATTTGTTCTGTTGTTTCCTCTGTTTTGATCTCTTTGTTTCATGTTAGAACTTTCCATAAACATCTGGTAATCTTTGGCTATCTGTTAAGGTTTCATTATGAGGTACAAAAAGCTGGTGGGGGGTTCTGTGTGCCTGAATGTGGCTTATTCTCAGAGGCTATCCGGCAGAGAACCAGCTTATTCACTGAGGGGAGTCTCCCCAGTGTCTGAACCTGAAAGTTTCTTCTCTATGACCCTCCTATTTTTTCCCAGAGTAGGATCATTTCTTAACTGACTGCCAGTGTTCTGGAAACAGGTGCGGTAAAGAGCCTAAGAGTCCCACTAATGTGTGTGTGAATTCTGAATCCTTAGCTACCTCGTTCATCCCTAACCCATACTGCCCCGCAAGGACTCTCAAGCCTCACAACTAATTCATTTTAACATGAGAAGACATTAAGAGGGTTAAGAGATTCTCCATGATTCACATGCTAGTGTGAATTCATAGCTGCTCCTTTTACTTCTCCCCTGGCCCTTAGCTGATATCAACTACCCTGAGGAAGTGGAAGTCTGAT